CGCAGATGGCGGCTGCAGCAAACAATCTCGGCGTGTTGGGCGTCTCCCTGATCACCCCTCAGGCAGTCGCCCCCGCCCTCCTCTCTCAAGAGGGGAGCGATTATTCGGACCGCGCTATAGGTCAGATGAACAATCTGATTCATGGCGTTGCCGCTGCAGCAGGGCGGGTGATTTCCTTGGCCACAGTGGTGTCTCCTCGGAGCCCCCGTGTCTACGGAGGGGCTCTTTGGGTCAATTGATTGATTGATTGATTGATTGATTGAAAAGTTTATTAACAGCTTGTATATTGGGTACAGTACAGTACAGCTCAAAACATACAATTGTTAAGGGGATGCAGACCAGAGAAAGACTTTCGTCTTGTTTACATCAGGTTCCCCCATTTCCAATTCATCATATCATTTAAGACATATAAGACATATAAGACATATTTGACATACAGATGGCTGATTTACAATTTACATACAGGTGTTTTTTTACACACAGATTGCTTATTTACAATTTTCATTTTAGATTTTGTTCTAATACATCCTAACCGAACATTTAAGACATACCAAGTCTACAGATATACAGTTAGTAACAGAGTCTAAAATGCGAGTATATACATAGATGGGGGGGGGGGGAAGCTGTCCATTGAACGACAGGTTGAGATTTGTACCATTACCGGGGCCAGTTTTGCAATGCTCTCCCCCGAAGGTGCTCTTTAAGAGAGGTTTTGAAGGTAAGTATAGTTTTACTTTCCTTTACAGTTGTGGGAAGAGCGTTCCACCTTGATGTGGCATAATTGCGAAACGTGTATTCCCCCTTTTTTGTGCCAAATCTGGGTTTCACATGATTTGTGGAGCTCCCTCTGGTGTTATGATCATGGTATTCCTTGACCTTTGGGAAGAATTTTGACATGTACATGCAGGGCCGCCCCTCCCTACAGGCCAATCACGCAGGCTGCATGGGGCCCCGCCTTGCGCAGGGGGCCCCGCCCAGAGGGCCTCAGCTGCTGTGCGCAGTTCTCCGCACACCCCCCGCAAGAGTGAGAGTGAGAGGTGACGTCTGTAACCCGACACCGTTGCAATGAATCAACATCTGACCAATCACGGCTTTGATACGGCCACTAGTGCAGATGAAGAGATGTCGGTGAAAAGACAGTTTCAGTCCGGAGCAACAGGCGTGTAGTAAGCCCATTCAGGGCCGAGGGGGCTCTCCCCATCCGTCTATGGGCGGGGGGGGGGGTCCCCCGGCACTGTTTTTTGAGCACACTTTCTGCAAGGTAAGCGCAGCAGGGTGTGCTCTGTCAGCCACAGCCCAGATTTCTCCTCGGTTACAACCGGGTAAAAGGAGAATGTGGGGCAGCAGCTGCTGACCATAAAAGCCGGTCAGGGGCAGTAGGGTGGAATATTGTTGTTGGACGACAGTGCGCGTATACATCGCGGCTCCACCCACTGTACCCATAGAGTCCAGTAGAGGGTGGAGCCTGTGAGAGATATAACGTCGGGTTACGTATGGTAACCCTTGTTATAGCCCCGTTTAAACGTCCTTTAGCGTCCAGGCCAGGCCAGTTTTTGGTGGCCTTTCCATATCGCGTAGTACCGGCTAGCGGGTACTTTTCCGCAGTTTTTCCGGCCCCATAAAATCGTGGTTCTAGGGCCAGGGACAACGAGGCTGAGTATGCTAAACTAGAGAGGGAATCGCTAGCAAGGGTGGTACTACATGCATACATATCTAGTAATAAAAATCATTGTATCTACTAAGTAGGCCTAAATTGGGGTTGTATTGTTTGCCTTTTTAGAAAACTTTATTTTATATTATTTGGGCAGTACATGATATACACAATTGTATTGTTTGCCTGTAGTTGGCCTTTTAATTAATACAATATTTGAATTTGAAGTTTTGTAGATAGGGATCTTTTGGAATTATCTAGTCTTTGTAATTGTCCGGCGACGTTTCTCAGACTGTCCAGACTGCTTTAATTCTCTAGCTTAAATCAGTAAATGTTCTAAAATGTGTGCTGGGGCCCTGACAATACTCAAATACTCCGCCATGTTTTCGTGTGTTTACAAAGTGAACGCATGGATGACGTCACGACCATCACGTGACTACTGAAAATTGCCAAAATGGCAGCTGCCTGACGGAATATACAGGTTTTGATAAAAAAAGAGCTATAAAATCATTATTTACCGGGGAATATCACTGATTTCTTCAGGGTATGGTTTAAACATAATGTTTCACTAAATACTGACGTTTTGATTAATTATCTAATGAGTGGAGCATTCCTTTAAAGAGACAAAAAAGAGACAAAACAAAACAAAACTGCTAAAAACATACCACTTCCACCCAGAATGGGAGGAAGAATATTTGTTTGGGATGTCACATTCAAAGGTTATTTGCCTTATTTGTAAAGTAAGCATCGCTCTGCCAAAGAAAGGTAACGTGGATAGGCATTATCGGAGTGTTCACAAGGCATATGACAGCGACTTCCCTCCAAGTAGCGAGTTGAGAAAGAGAAAGGTCATGTATTGTTGCTACAAAAACATTATCTTGCAGTCTTAGTGTCGCCAACTCGTTTCTAACATGCAAAAAGACAAAAAAAATGCGTCTAAGGTCGGTGTTTTTTCGACCTTTCCAATCGAGACGGGATCTCTCTCTCCTCCGTCTGTGTGCGAGGGGGGGGGGGAAGTTTACACACACGCGGCTGCTACATGCAGCAACACACGGCGGGGATGGCGGAGAGAAGCGCTCCAAGGTGTTAAATGTTACCCGTCTTGAGCAGGGGCGGCGCCAGGGGGGAGCTAGGGGGTGCTGAAGCACCCCCCAGGATTGCCAAAGCACCCCCTAAGCACCCCCAATAAATATGTGTTTTTTTTTTTTTTTTCGAAAATTATTATTTTTATTAAAGGAGACCTATCATGCTATATTTAAATGATATAGTGTATGACCATACCTATATAAGGTATATTTATACATTTTATTTTTCAAAATACCAAACGGATCATTTTTTAGCCATGCCTCGTTTCGCTCATTTTCGCTCTATTCCAAGCCTGTCTTTGAAAATTCTGAGCAGCAGCTGACCACGCCCCCCTGCAGAAGAGCAGGGCATGCGCCGGCGAGAGTCACGTTACCATGCTTGCTGTGATTACGTGTGGAATAAACATGTCATCTCAGAGCAATGCATGTGTTCAAGCATATTATGAATTTGATCCAGAGACTGACCCTGAAGCAGCGGAGGTTTTGGTGGAGGTGGAAACATCTCGGTTGCAGCAGGACGTTTCTGAATGGTTAGTTGACAAGCTGTTGTCCCTATTTATTGTACTCTGTTACGATGCTTGCTACTTATTCCGTTCATATGTTGGCTAATTAGCAAGAATGCAATGTGTACAGTTTGTAACTTATAGTTTGTAACGCAAAAACAGCAATACATATTTATAAAGGGAGACAATCATATTTTCAGCATATATACAATGGCCTCATTGCGTTTATTAATAGTTTACAGTCCTTTTCTTCCAACATCGTGCAACAACCGTTGGAAAGTTCAATAACTTAGGGTGATAAAAAGTATAACTCCAACAACACCTCAGTTGTCAGCAATGTGTGTAGTTTCATGTGTTTTTAAAAGTTCAGTTATTGACTTCTTTCTACAGGTGTACATGTGCAAATTGCGCCACGATGCCTTCTGAACCGGAGAATGTGTGCTGCATGGAGATACCACAGGTAACATTTTTGATAGCTTCACTAAGTTGTCTGTTTAGAGAATACATTTTTAACATGTCATTCAATATATCTTTATCACACTAGGTGTCAAGACGGATGCAGGAACTTGAAGACTCTGTTAACTGTATGGTGGACCATCCTGGATTGGAGCCTGTGTGCCTGAATGTGTTCTCCCTGCAGAATGCATTTAATATTTACAGAGCTGAACATGGTGGACTACAGTTGAGGCAAATAGAGCAGTGAGTGGTTTGTTTGTTTTGACTGAAATTGTAAAACGAATGCTAATATTGTTCATGGAAATAAATACTGGTGTATATGGCTTTATGCAATCTTTCATTGTACATGTACTATTATATATATATATATATTATTACACAGCAATGGCATAACACACCCAAGTGTACGACAAAAAAAGTCCACACACAACCTTATGCTTTTGAAATCAGAATATTCTTTACCCATCCAAACATAAATAATCACGACACATTTGATATCAACTCTGAACTTTATTGTCAAAATGAACGGTTCTTTGAACCCATAAAAAAAAACTAAATGTACTTGTATTATATATAAATGACACTAAATATATTTTTTAATGATTTCAGGCGTCACAGGTATCTAGCCTACAGAAGCTTTGTGAGCTGGTGTTGGGGCTTCCTTGGACGCAGGATCAGAGTGGTGATTCCGGCCTGCGTTGTCCTCAGGATTCGCAGAGAGTTTCCTGATCCGCGAAATATCTATGTTGGGTTCAGACAGCAGCCAAATTGAACCGAATAGCATACCCGGAGATGACCTCCTCCCTGTCAGGTCGCTCATATTGGGAACACAGGTCCTCTGGGATGGGTATCTTCAGAAGCTCCTGTGTGAATGGTGCAGGGTCCACAAAGACTTGGTCGAAGATGAGGTCCATCAAGTTGGCCACGTAGCCTGTGCAATGTTAAAAAAAGCACAACAAAAAATGTGGTTTACATTAGTATATGCATGTACAAAACTGAAAGTTCTTTTTAATTTATTTATTTTATATTTGTAAATAGTTGTATAATAAATATTTTAAACACTTACAGAATGTGGGGTCAGTCTTTACTGGTTTTGCTCTGCATTCTCCCTTCCTGGCCTTTGGGAACTGCAGTTTATACAGAGGCTTTCCAGTGGATGTAGTGGCTTGTGCACGCTCAGCGTTTTCATTGTAGTGCAGGGCTGCCAGGTACAGTCTTTCATTTCCGCCATGAGTAAAACAAAAATGTAAATTATAGCAAAGGATGTACAAATTGTCACTAATTAGTAAGTAACTATGGTTTATTTTACCTGCACAACATTCCAAGAAATGGAAACACAACATTATTTGGAGCAAAGCGCAGGATGACGGCATGGAATGACTCCAAAGATGAAGTCTGGTGGTGTGGGCTGAGTTTGGCCACAGCTTTCAAAATCCTCTTGGTTGAGAGAATTGTCTCCAGCTTGTGAAAGGCCGGCGTTCCTAAGAATTTGAAAATCAAAGTCATATTTGAATTGTCATGCTTTATAGATTGTGTCTGACAACATCCTGTATTCAGTAGTTGTCCCTTACAAATATTTATAGAGGAGTAATGTAATATGGTTTATGAACAACATACCTGCAGCCATCCATTGGTATTGCGCAATGCGCAGTGGATGAAGGCACTTGGGGAACAGGGGGTCATCATGAGAGTGGATATCCTGCACGTGGTTCAGGATGGAAGTCCATTTGGCCACTCTCTCAGGCCCGGTGGTGGAGGTTGCTGCAGTCCAGTATATGTGGTTTCTTATACTCTTCACCCACCCTCGAAGTTTTTCGCAGTCCTTCTTTTTTGCAGCCTTCTCCAGTTGCTTAGAAATCCCTAATAAATACATTTAACATGTAGTTAATATACATACAAGTTTACTCAAAATATTATTATACTAATGTGATTGTAGGAAGCCGGGTTTGTGTCTAAATAAAATAATGATTGTATTTACAATCGATTTATTTACATGGAAATTAATATAAAGAAAAATACCTTTTTCTATGTGCCACACATCAAAGAATTGGGTGATGCTGCTTTCCCTTAGGAATTTCTGAATTTGCAGATGTCTGTCCGTGACAATACAGTCCAGAGTCACACCACGTTCCTTTAACAACTCCAGACTCCTTTTCAGGCCCTCTAACTCCATGTGGTAGCTTCCACCAACCTCATTGCTCTGTTATGACACATACAAATAACCATTGATACACACATTTTAAATATAACGTGCAAACAGTGTTAAAGAAAAAAACATTGATATTTCATTTCACCCCACTTACCTGAACCAACTGGAGGTCAACGACTTTGTTGTTCTTCAGGTCCATCATAGTGTAGCTTCCGAACTTTGCAGAGTGGCCTGTGAAAATATGTTTTACAGTAATTACTTTTCTGTGCGGATGGTGAATTTGTATTTTTGCTTGTAGTGTTTAGCATATGTTTTTCAGGAACCATTAATTGAACAAATCACACATAGTGAAACCCCTTTCTGAAATGTAAAATGTGAATTATATAAAAAATACATACCTGGGGAGTCAGCCCTCATATCACCACCAACTATCACTTTCTCCTCTGCATGGAGCTTCTGTAGCATGCCTTCCTGTGATTTTTGCCAGTAAGAAACCATCGCTGGCTCAATGAACATCCTGGCATGCCTTCGGAAGGTGTTGTATTTGCATAGCTGCATATTCATGGCTTTGAAGACCTAATGGTTGAAAGAAAACCGCAAGAATACATTTTAATCTCAAAGATCACCTGTAGATGTGTCAATGAGGAGAACCTGGAAAGTGCAAATGAGCTGCCCTTTTTTTAAACAGGGAAAGAGCTGAACATGTCATTAGGGGTGCTTACTCTACAGTGCCCCTTTCACATCTCTTCTCTTTCTCCACACCACCCTCCCAAAATATATTTACATATTAGCATGGGTCGTTACCTAACAGTGCCCTATTCCCACCTTTTCTCACTCTTGTTATTGTTACCTTGTCCTATCTTATTCAACAACAACATTTGCATTTTCAAACATTGGCAAAACAATCTTCTGCAGTTAATTTACCTTTGAAAGTTTGTAGAAAGATGCTCCGTTGACATATGTTGCAACTGATAGCTGCAGGTTTCCAACTGGAGTACTCCCAAGAACAGGCTGGCTATTCCAGTTTCTTGTAAACTGACAATGGGGGCACAGCTGCTGCACTGATATGAATGTACCGATCCTTCTGGTTTGTACATCACACACACGCTTGCACACAGGACATGATTCAAAAAGCTCCATGAGGCAGGTCTCATACACGATGTATGTGTTGATCGTCTGGGGGGGGGTTTTGTTCTTGACCACTAAAACAAAAAAATAGAAGTTAAGATCCATCACACAGATTGTTGCTTTAGAGATCTTTGGTGTTTCCCTATTATCAATGTTTGAATTATATACAGCAAAAAATACAATACATAGACAAACTCACACATAGTGATATTTCAGTAACTTACGACATGGCTGTTGTTTCTGTAGCATTTGTTATGGATTCTGCTGGATCATAAGTTGCATCCTGGCCTTCGGAAAACACCAAAGAAGAGCTTCCCTCAAATGGATCTTCGTATTCCTCTTCAAGATCCACACGGGGCCTCTTTGGTGGTCTCTTTAAGGGGGTGGATGTTAAAAAGGGCACTGGCACTTCCAACGGAAGTGTTTCGACACCAACGCTTCTGCAGGGAATTTTAGCCTGGACAGCTGTAACATAATTGTATTTGACATTAAAAACAAAACAAAAGATAAAACAAAAATATTTTACAACAATTAGAAGCACACAAATTAAAGGCTACAACATCAGAATGTCAAGATGTATCCAAAGAACATTTGAAAAACGTGCTTCTAACCTGTACTTCGATGTGAACCAAGAGTCCTCGAGGATAGCTGTGTACGAACAGTACGGTACTTGGGTGGGTCAGTCTGACATGCAGAATCTGTCATCACAGGTAATCTGCTGGTAGCATGTGAGGTGCTGGCCTGTAAAGAAGAAAACAAAATCATCTCAATTTAGTATTCAGGATGAGAAAATACTATTTGGATAAATATCGTCTGAAATCCCAAAAGATGGGGGCTAAAACTCTCTATTTAGCAAAGCTCTTTGCTTAGCCTTTTCCAATCTGAGTTAGTTTTGAACCGTAATGTGCATGCTGTGTTTCTGACTCAATACAGATGATGTGTTGGAGAGGGGCTGAGCTCAGTAGACTGACTGTAATGAGTGCTAGCCACTAATTAGCCTGTTGCTAGGTAAGGCCTCGTCAACAACAACAGACCAACGGGGCTTTAGTTCTGTTTTACTCATGGTGTGTGTCCCCCCTCACATACATACACACAGTGTTGTATCCTAACACATCCCCATTTATATTCATGTGCGTAAACAAGTAAACATACAAAAGCTTTTAAATATAACGCTGGAAAAAACGGCATGTCTCATTAGCGTAGCGTAGCTTAGCTTACAGATCTGATCGTTCTTACAGACTACAATCACAAAAGCTTTTACATATAACGCTGGAAAAAACGGCACTTACCTACAGAAGATTACGTTTGTTATTATAACTTACTCAACATGATTTTAGAGGATACAAAATACTAATAAATAGGAGAATAAATACTTGTGTTATCGGCTAGGGCAGGGGTGGCCAACCAGTCAGAGGTTAAGAGCCACATTTTTTCTATGTTATTGCAAAGAGCCACATCAAACACACAGTCACTGATACCGCTTGTTTCCGTTTTTTGTTTTCTGGAGACAAGATTTCAACCACGTCACTGATGCATTTTTGTGGCATTGGGATATATATTTTTCAAATCCTCTGGAGCAGAGAGAGGAGCTGTGGATTATTGTTATTGATTAATGCATCAGTGTTTCTTAGGGTCAAAAACACTAAACTCACAACTTAAGATGAAAGCGTTTAGTTTATTTAATAAAAGAGCACATGTTCAATGTGAAAAGTGACAGTAGTTATAGATTATTTGCAATTTGGTGGTATATATATATAGATTTTTTTATTTATTATATATATAACTCCTTGAATTCCAGGGGGGGGCGCGGGGCTCCGTTGGCGGCTCGCAGCGCCCCTCCAAGACAATGGTAGGGGAAACACTGGATAGTGTTTAATCAACGATAGGTTTTCCCCCCCTCAAAGGTGATTGGTTCACTGCATTGCAGGTATTATTGTGATTGGCTCTTGGGCCACATCAAAATTAGACGCGCTGTCATCCTCTCATACTGACACCTGACACCACACATACACACGTAGGGAGAGCCGGGACGAAAGTAACACGGGACCAAAGTAACGGAGCTATTTTATCCGAGCCCGAACAACTTTGACCAGCCAAATTACGTCCGAATTATCAGTATTCAATACTTAACAGACCTACTAAATATCAGGTTTAACTGTCAGTGTTGTCACGATACCAACATTTTGGTTTCGATACCAAGTCAATAATTGCGATTCCGATTATTTTTCTTAAAAAAAGGGAAACAGTCTTAAATGTAATTATTGTGCTTTATTTCACACCAGAACCATAACCATAACACAAACTTTTAAACAATGAGAACAATAAATAAAATAAATGACAAGAATTCGTATTAAATAAAATTAATACATTTCTCACAGACAGGCCTCATGGTGTCCGTAGGCTTGCCCTCACTGTCAGAGATATAGCTAAAATACATCGCTTCTGGCGTCTTTTTTCTCAACAAGCCGAGGCGCAGCGGCAGCTGCACTCCCACTTGCAGCCATGCTTCTGGTTTTCTCACATGCTCTGGCAGCTAGCGCGTGCACGAGAGAGGGGAGGGACTTAGAGCGTGCTTGAGCGGGGAGGGACTTAGAGCGTGCTTGAGAGGGGAGGGACTTCGAGCGTGCTTGAGAAGGGAGGGGCTGCAGGCACGGCTGCAGTGCAGGGAGTGGAAGCAGAGCGCTGAACACACACGGCTCTTATTAAAACGGCGCTTTCTCACCGGAGTACTTTTCCCCGTCATTCTTAAAGTACCGATACTAATGAAACGGAGGAATCGTAACGTTTTTAACGGCAGGGTATCGCGGTATACCTTTCAAGTATCGGTACACCATGCAACACTAGTCAGGAGTCAGTGTCTCTCCCCCAAACTCACACATATAAAATTCGATATGAACTGAAGAGCCGCATGAAACTAGGCAAAGAGCCGCATGCGGCTCGAGAGCCGCGGGTTGGCCACCCCTGGGCTAGGGCGTGGCTTTACAGCCTTCACACAGATCGCCATTACGGCAGTATGTCTGAACATGTTAGCAAATGCCTGATAATTAAAATAAAAGACAAAGCAAAGACTGCGGAGCGTACAATATAAAATGTTATAAAAACATATAAACACCTAACCGATTACTATTTGTGTTTGAGGCGACATTGATACGGTGAAGCTACATGCTACATGCTACATACTACAAGCTAGAGATAGCTTTATCAGGAAAAACACCGCTAAATAAAAACTTACAGCTTCAAAATTGGATGTGTCCTCACTGGCCTGCTCCCGGATGGTTGGTATTGATCCTGGGTTTAGCATTAGCTTGGAGGCATATCCGTGTTGGACTTGAGAGAAGTTCATAAACATGTCCGTGGTAAAATGTTTGGAACACACAAACAGAAATCTGCCGTGGTTTTCTGGCACATGTCCCTTGAAAATGAAGTCTAGCCACAGATTATTTTCTTTTTCCACTGATGGCATTGCATGCAGTCCCCCTTCTCGAGTCTTGCAGCCAACAACAGCACAAAGTTTAACTCGCTTAGACATCCTGGCAAGAGCAGACAAAAACACAGATGTGACTGGAGTTGATTTAGCCTGCCGATAGCCTATATACGAATGAGAGGTTTGGCAATGCCCGTGGCCGTGGCTCATTCCCCTGATAGGTGGAGAGTTGACCAATAAGCGGAGCACGTCTCTTTGTGACGTAGGAAAGTGTTGAAATCTGGATCCGTTTTTTTCAGATCCGTTTCAGCCCCTTTTTTAGAGATTTGGCGAAGGAGGAAAATAGAGAGGGTTGTGTTTTCTGACACTTGGTGAGTTCCCTGGAACACCGGGGACACATATTCATGTATAAAAGACGTCCAAAGGTGCATTTTGCATGATAGGTCCCCTTTAAATTAAATTAGAAACATTATTGATTACATCAATGCTATTATGTGAAACAAACACATTTTTGACCAAAAACATAAAGCCAACACAGGTGATATGATTAGGCCAATGGCCAGCACCCATTCGATTTTTGACCTACCCATAGGCTAAATTACTTTGTGACACTTGAGTGACTTCCTGTTAGCTAGAGCGCCAAATGATTTGCTAACAGCAAAGTGAAAAATTGATCGTTTTTTAGTCCTTAAACGTCCACGTGTGGACACTCAATCAAAACCACCTGAAAGCGAGAGGGATTCTGCACATAATAGGCCTTGTGTAGTGAGTACAAGTAGCTTACTTCTGGGTCTCTGTGTTTAATTCAAGCCCTGCTCTGTGTGTGTGTGTGTGTGTGTGTGTGTGTGTGTGTGTGTGTGTGTGTGTGTGTGTGTGTGTCTGCCCTCAAGCAGTCCCACAACAATGCTTTGGCGTCATGACAGAACGCACACCCATTCCCCTTTAACGCACACACATTCCTCTTAAACATCTTCAACACACACACATCTGTTTAAGCCAACTACTCCAACATGTTGTGGCAATTTAGTACTCATAACATGAAAGAATAAAACAGAGAGATATCAATAAAACACAAACACAGGTATAGTCGAGCAGTAATTATACAGCATATAGCCACTGAAATGAACACACACTTATTTGATCATGCAGCCTATCACACAAATGTCACATGTTTTTCCTCTGAAAGCTATACTTGTTATAGGTTTAAACGTCATCGTCTCATGACATCCATAGGATTAGCTAACTAACAAAGGTTAACTGTTCTTATATCCTAAGGCCTTCTCTGAACTTCCTTCCACCCGGAAGTCAGCTCACTTAACATGAATACATCTATTGATAAATCAGAAGGACCATTGTCTCTCTAACAGTATGTGACCCAATTCAGAAACACACCAACATCCTTATCATTTCTTAGCTAATGCATGCTGGATATGAACCACTGAAAAATACTTATCAACGGGTAATCATTTTACTCAAGGCAGAAATCACAGGTTGTACTGTACCTTACCTACTCACAAATAGCCAAAAACCACCTTTTGATTATAACACAAAAGTGGAAGAAAAGACCATTTGCGCTAATCTACTTCTACTTAAAGTGGGACATCATTATAGGAATATTCAAGTTTAACACACATCCTATATATCATGTGACATAAAAATGAATATACCAGAAATACGCTGAATTAAACTTTCTGCTATAACACGTTATTGTAATACTTCAGGACTGACAACAACAAATACCAAACACCTGGGCAGAGATAATACATTTACAATTGTGAATAATGTTTGATATCCTGATGGTAAACCCTTCTTACCCATGTTAGTTTCTTTGATCGGTTGAAACATAGGTTCTTCCTCTCTCTGCATCCTCCTACCACAGGATAAAAAGTTGTAATTGATAGTCATGACCACGTTGGATAGACTGGATGTTATTCTGGAGCTGAGATTTATTCATAAATAAATATCTTTGATACTCGGTTCAATTCTTGCATTGTTTTCTTTAAATGTAATTTATTATTATAATGTGTGTTGTAGACTAAAATGTATTATTCTGTATTTACCTTCCACCATCTGGCCATTTTGTTAAATGTATTTATATAAAGAGGCGTGTTGTGCAGTGGACTACTGCGTTGGTGTTCAGATCAGGGGGTCAGAGGTTCAAACCCCACTACAGTCAGTATGTTGTTGTGTTCCTGTGCAAGACACTTCATCCCAGATTGCTCCTTAGGGGATTGTCTGCAGTATTGAGTATGACAGTCCCTTTGGATAAAAGCGTCTAACAAAAAACCTGTAATGTAATATCAACATTTCTTGTTTTATTTTATTCCCTTATCTTATTTAATCATTTATTTTTGTGCAGGCAGCTCTACTGCCCTGGCTGCAGGCTGATAACAGACAGTTGGGATCGCGGCGAAATTCTCTCTGCAGACCCATTCTCAAATCGTTTATCAACCTTTTTCTTAC